ATAGGTCCGATTGGCTCTAGACGATAGACGTAGCCAGTGCGAGAGCGCCTGTTATCTGAATCGCCGGCATGGTCGGCATCGACGTAGCCGATTAGTTTCGTTGACGTAGCTTTGCTCTTGTAGTAAGTCAGGCCGATCGTCGGCGTGCTCACGAAATAGTGCAGTGCGCGATCGAGCTCCGCCAGGTGCTCTGCTTCGGGTTTCTTGAGGTAGGTAGCGAGTTGGCTTGCGGAGTAGGATAGATCCGGGCGACAGGTGACGGCTGCGAAGAGGAGGCAGCCCAGTTTCCTCTTGTAGTCTCGTATTCCGACAGCTTTGAGTGGAGCGGAATTTCCTTTGTCATCTCCTGCCGTGTAGCGGTATGGCGTGGCGATAGCGGTAGGTGTGAGCAAAAAAACGCTTGGCGATCGTGTCGGCGTATTTTTCGGCGCTTAGATAGATCGCATTTTCTTCTTCGCGGATGTTGAGCCCGAGGTACTGCGTGACGGTAGAAGAGACCGTGAGCGTGAGGTCCTTCTGCAGCTCCCCTTCGAACCAGGTGGTGACGTCGTCGGTGGAGCCGATGTAGAGCAAGTCGTCGACATAGACTATCAGCAGGATGTAGTCTGCGTCTTTGGTGAGTCGGTACATCCCTTGGTCGTGAGGTAGTTGACGAAATCCGATGCGAGTAAGGCGGGTGTGTAGGTGCTGTTGCCACAGCCGCGGTGCTTGTTTGATTCCGTAGAGAGATTTCAGTAGCTGACAGACCTGATTGGGGTTTCCGTGGGTACCGTGTGGGAGTTCGACGAAGATTTCGGCGTCGACGGATGCGTAGAGGAATGCATTGGCGACATCAATTTGTCGCAGCTTCTTCTTCTTCATGGCGGCGACGGCGAGAAGGATTCGGAGAGAGGTATGTCGACTGACTGGGGCGAATGTCTCGGTGAAGTCTCGTCCTTGCTCCTGATCGAATCCACGCACGACCTAGCGTGCTTTGAATTTCTCGATCGTGCCGTCTGCTTTCGTTTTGATGCGGAAGACCCATTTCCCGGTGAGAATAGTCTTGTTCCTTGCCACGCTTGCGGGAACGACCTTCCAAGTGTTGCGTTCCTCCAATGCCTTTAGTTCTCTGTCCATGGCTTCACGCCATTTCTCCCTATGTTCCCCCCCCAGAGCCTGCTGAACCGTCGCAGGCTCCTTAGGAAGCGCGTTGCCGTGCACTACGGTGACGAGGCCGAGGATTTGCAGCCCAGTCTGTGAGTATCGGGGGAGTGTTGGATCCTCGGGATAAGCTGCTTCGTCTCCCGCTTCTGGATCGGGTATGAAATTTGGCCCTATCCGTTCTGCTTCATTTGTGTTGACTGTCGCAGGTGTTACGTAACCGTTGTCGGCGAAGTGATAGAAGACTTCGGCGTTGGCACTGTCGCGAGGATTTTCTTCGTCCATGGGCACGTTGACGGAGCAAAACGGGAGAGGTCCGACTTCTTCCGATGCGTTGTCGACGTTCTGTTCATCCCAGTATGCTTCGTCCGCTGCTGAGGCGAAGGCTCGGTCACCACGAAAGCCTATCAAAATTAGAAGGAAGAAAGAGGGTTGAACTAGCAAGAATGAGGATACAAATAGCAAACCCTAGAAGGGTTGTACTCGCTATAGAGCACCCCACTACAGGCTAGAACAATAAGATAATATTCTGACACACCCCCATAGCCAAAGTGGGGTGTAATCAGCAGAGCAGGCAAAGCAAAACAAGGTCAGGGTGGATCACAATATCACCACACATTCTGAGCACAAGTTCAAGAAGAAATAGTTTAGAGTTCACAATTATAAGCAAAGCTAGTGGTAGTCACAACGGGCAAGTGAGGAGGAGAAGGGAGAGTGAGGGGAGAGGAGACAGGAGGCGACGGCTGAAGCTGCAGACACACGGGCAACAGGAGGCAGACTGGCACAGCGGCTACCGGACAGCGGCCGGACTACAGGAGTAACAGGCCCCGCGGCTCAAATAGCGGCGGACGGGCAACGGACCCACGGGCGGCTGGCACAGCTGGCTACGACTGGGCTACCGGGACAGCGCCCCGGACTACAGGTGCTGCGGACGACAAGCCGGCAGCCTCCGCTCAACCTCCCGCAAACAGTCCCACCCCCCTGATACACACCCACTGCTACACCGCTAGCTCCACTCCCACGCACCCCCCTTAAACCCTAAACCCAGTCTCCCACACAACCACCCCCCTCAGCGACAGCTGCAGCAGTGGGAGACGAAGGAGGAGGAGGAGCAAAGGGAGGAAAGTACACTGGCCACCCCCATACCTGCCACCCCACAGCGCGGCCCCCGAAGGAGCCGCGACGGGCGACGGGAAATGGGGGGGACGGGAGAAAGGGGGGGGGGGGGGACGGGGCCGGGACCGCGACGAGGGGCGGGGCCGCGACGGTCGGGGCGGGGCCGCGACATAGGGCGGGGCCGCGACGTAGGGCGGGGCCGCGAAGGTAGGGCGGGGCCGAGCCGGGCAGGCGCACGGGCGGCGACGGGCCGGGGCGGGGCCGCGACGAAGGGCGGGGCCGAGCCGGGCAGGCGCACGGGCGGCGACGGGCCGGGGCGGGGCCGGGACGTAGAGCGGGGCCGCGTCGAGGGGCGGGGCCGCGACGATCGGGGCGGGGCCGCGACGTAGGGGAGAAGCCCGCCGCGCGCCTCGGGGCGCACAGCGGGCAATGAACCGCCGCGCGCCTCGGGGCGCACGGCGGGCAGAAAACCGCCGCGCGCCTCGGGGCGCACGGCGGGAAGAAAACCGCCGCGCGCCTCGGGGCGCACGGCGGGAAAGGAAAGGTAGCAGCGGAAGCGAGGTGGTAACCCACCCACAGGATCGATCCAAAGGGATCGACCTGCTCTGATAGCATGACAAAAGTTAGAAGAAAGAAAGAGGGTTGAACTAGCAAGAATGAGGATACAAATAGCAAACCCTAGAAGGGTTGTACTCGCTATAGAGCACCCCACTACAGGCTAGAACAATAAGATAATATTCTGACAAAGCCAACTGTGGGGTTTTGATTCTCGTGCAGGTTGGCGAGGTACGTTTGAAGGGTGAGTCGCTCGTAGAAGATCACATCACGTGCTGCTACTTTTTCCTTTGAGTGGGCGTCGAAGATTTTCCACGCGTTGTAATTTTTCTCGATGCCGAGGTGTAGTCCCCACTATGCCCGTTGTGAAAATCTTCCCGCTCGTGCTTCTGGGGGTCGGTACTGTACCATGCACCCGAAAATTCGTAACATTTTTGTGCTGCCCTGCTTCCCTGTCCACAGCAGGTGCGGTGATGCGTTGTTCGGGAGTGACGACGACGACAGCAAGTTGTGCAGCATGACAGCATGGTCCATTGCTGCAGGCCACTGGTGGTTGGGTAGCCGCATGCCATGTAGCAGTTTGCGCATGCTGTTCTGCAGAATCTTGTTCATTCTTTCTGCGACACCTTGCTGCTGATGTGCATAGGGAAGGGAGAGGAGTTGCTTGATTCCCTTTTCCGCCAGGTACTGCTTGAAGCGCTGAGAGGTGTACTCTCCTCCTCCGTCTGACTGAAAGATTTTCAGTCGTGCCTATAACCCTCCGAGGGTTGACTCCCGATGCTTCGATTTGGACTTCTTCGCTTTGTGTCCTGAGTTTCGACACGACAGAGGCGTTTAAGACTTATTGTTCCCAACATAAATCTTAAGGTGATCATGCATTTTCATAAGAACATTGATACCGGTATAAAACATCTCACATGTCTAAGTCAGGTCTGAGTTGGGAGATTCTACAGATGCACGCTCAGCTACATGTGCGGTGGGGTGGGGTGGATGTTTGTGGTGTCGTGCGAGGCGCAGCGCGTTGCGAGCCATGCGTCGGCAACGAACCTTGCCAACGCTGCCTGTCGCGCAACCCCGATTGGTCGGAATTGCAGCTGATTACAGCTTGGCTGTACCAACGCGATTGTGCAGGGCCGCGCGAGGGAAGATTCTATTTCTCGCCTGTAATTGACTGTTTTTGTCCTACACTTTCCCAGGCTAACGGAAATCCCTGTAATGCCGGTTTCAGTGTGCACCCCCTATACAAGGCTGGTGTGGCAGGTGGATGGTATGTGGGGTGGAGAAGGGAATAATGTGGGGGGGGAGGAGGGTGGTACGGTATGTGGAAGCGAAGGTGGGCGGTGCGTGGTGGGAGGGAGGGAGGAATGTCTGGGGGTATATGGGGGGCGATGCTGGTGGTATGTGGAGGGCAGAGTGGTGGAAAGTAGGGGGTTCGTAGGAGGGTGGGATATGGTGGGAACGGTGGATTGTACGTGGGGGGTATGGGGGGTGGTAGTATGTTGGGTGGAAGGAAGGAGGAAGGTGGGGGGGAAGGAGGGGTGTATGTGGCGGGGAAATGGTGGGTGGAACCTGGGGGTGTTGGAGGAATTCTAGCGGTGTCGGGGGAGCAAGCAGGGTGGTACCGTATGTGGATGGAAATGCATGTGGTATGTAGGGGTGGAGGCGGGTGATACTTGGGGGAAGACGGATGATTGGTGGGTGGAAGGCAGGTAGTATGCGTGGGGAAGGATGACGGATTGCAGGGGGGAAGGTCTGTGGTATTTGTGGGGAGATGGGCGGTGGAAAGGGGGAAGTGACGACGATGTTGGGAAGTGAGGACGATGGGGAAAAACGTGGGCAAGGAGGGGGTGCGAGCAGAATGGGGTGTTACATGAAGGCATGGAGTGAGCGACGTGTGAGAGTGTGCCGGCTGCACGAGCGACGCTGTAGCGTGTGACGGGTAGGTAGGAATGAGCAACGAGCAAATATGAGCGCTTAGAGTCCGGCGCAGCCGAGGGCCAAGTGAGTGTGCTGCGTTGCCTCTAAGCGCTCACTCACTTGGCCCTCGGCTGGACGAATAAGAGCTGATGCTGAATTATGCCTTGGAGCCTACTATTTCATTGCCCTGTTGTCGAACCCCCCCTAAAAGTAGCGCGGGGCCCCGGCGGGCGTGTATCTATCAAGTGTAACAACGTGGTTGGAACCAGTAACTAAATTATTCGCCACCACGGTTTGCTGGCCGTTTCTTTCTGCCTGGACGCCTGCACCTGCTCGTGCATCTTGGCTTCCAGCACCTTCGTCCTTGCCCTGTGCCATGCGAATGATGGTGATCATGGCGAACAGATGATGGTGAAGGGATCATGGTGGTGAGAAGACATTATATGGGACGATGGCAGAATCGGTGCGCAGTGCTAACCAGACAGCAACTGTGGGCAGCGTAGGGAGGGAGGGCAGGGAGGGAGGGCAGGGAGGGAGCGAGGGAGGGAAGGAGGAAGGGGGAGGGAGGGAGGGAGGGAGGGAGCGAGGGAGGGAGGGAGGGAGGGAGGGAGGGAGGGAGGGAGGGAGGGAGGGAGGGAGGGAGGAGAGGGGAGGGAGGGAGGGAGGAAGGGAGGGAGGGAGGGAGGAGGGAGGAGGGAGGGAGGGAGGGAGGGAGGGAGGGAGGGAGGGAGGGAGGGAGGGAGGGAGGGAGGGAGGGAGGGAGGGAGGGAGGGAGGGAGGGAGGAGGGAGGGAGGGAGGGAGGAAGGGAGGGAGGGAGGGAGGGAGGGAGGGAGGGAGGGAGGGAGGGAGGGAGGGAGGGAGGGAGGGAGGGAGGAAGGGAGGGAGGGAGGGAGGGAGGGGAGGGAGGGAAGGGAGGGAGAAAGGGAAGGAGGGAGGGAAGGGAGGGAAGCGAGGGAGGGGAGGGAGGGAAGCGAGGGAGGGGAGGGAGGGAAGCGAGGGAGGGAAGGGAGGGAAGCGAGGGAGGGGAGGGAGGGAAGCGAGGGAGAGGAGGGAGGGAAGCTAGGGCGGGGAGGGAGGGAAGCGAGGGAGGGGAGGGAGGGAAGCGAGGGAAGGGAGGGAGGGAAGCGAGGGAGGGGAGGGAGGGAAGCGAGGGAGGGGAGGGAGGGAAGCGAGGGAGGGGAGGGAGGGATGGAGGCGCGGAAGGGCAGAGGCGCACCTGGTGTCCTGCAGCTCGCCATGCAGCCTCCACCGGGTCTGGAAGCCCTCAGTGCCGGGCGTGGCACTGGCCAGGATGAGGCGCCTGTGAGTGTGGCAAGTGGGGGTATGCACGAATTGCAATGGGGATGGTGTGTGTGGGGTGGGAAACAAGGAGGTGTGGGCTGGGAATACAGGGCGGGAGTACAGGAAGCACTTGATGGCGTGCAGCCTTCAGCGTCTGAAAGCCCTTCGGTCTCGGCGTGGCATTGGCCAGAATGAGCCGTCTGTGAGTGTAGAAAGCAGGAGATGCAGGGGATGCGTGCGTGTGAATGAAGCATGTGACTACAGGATGTGGGGAGAGATACACTTTATTCCGTGCAGACCCCTTCGTATCTGGATGCCTTCAGGGTCGGCCATGCCTCAAGGTCGCGCAAGTCAAAATTTTCCAACAGCAAGTAGCACATAACCAGACTCTCCGAAAGCACAACCCTCCAAACCACCAATAGATGAAGTCGCACATTGACGTGCAGGCAGAGAAATGCGACCGTGGCCGGTTGAACTGAAGTCGGACCGCGTGGGCAAACATTGAAATGTGAATTAATTCCAAAACCAGCATATCGAGCCGCGTGGGCAGACTTCTGATGGTGGGCAAACTTGAGAATGCGGCCTTATATCCTTCTTTCTCTCCCACACACAACACCACATTCCCTCCCTTCCTCTCCAGCTGATTCTTGACTCGACTCAAAAGTCCACTTCGTCTGACTCACACACACCACAGACGCCCCCCCTACCTCTCCAGTTGCTCCGCCTGCCCTTTCATTGCCCCCACTCAATCCTCATTCCCCTCAGCTTCACAGCAGGCAGCACCTCAGCAACCTAACAGCTCACTGCCTCCCCCTGTCTGGCTCACTGCCTCCCCCTGTCTGGCTCACTGCCTCCCCCTGTCTGGCTCACTGCCTCCCCCTGTCTGGCTCACACACAGCACAGAAGCCCTCCCTTCCTACCTCTCCATCTGTTCCGCCTGTCCTTTCATCGCCCCCACTCGCTCCTCGTTGCCCTCTGCTGACCGGCCGGCAGCCGCTTCCCCCTCTGCCTGCAGCACACGCGCCCGCAGTACCTCATCCTGCACGCGAGAGGAGGGGCGAGGAGGAGAGAGGAGCGTTGCGAGAGTCAATGGAAAGGGTGGACTGGGGAGCGAGCATGGGACGCACAGGCAGCAATCGTTGGTAGTCGCCTGCTCTGCCTGCAGCAGCCGCGCTCGCAGCACCTCATCCTGCACGCGAGAGGAGGGGAGAAAAACACTTTTGAGGCGCCTCAAAAGTCGCGAACAGGGGAGAGAAAGGGAGCACATGCAGAAATAGCTGGCTGCCTCCCCCTCTGCCTGCAGCAACAGACGCGCCCACAGCACCTCGACCTGCACGCGGAAGGAGGGGCGAGAATGGGAGGGAGGTTGACAAATCGGGATAAGGTGAGGGCTGCGTGCGTGCGCTGAGGTTAAGAGCGCGTGCACTAACAGCTGCTTTATGAACCCGCCTTTTCCGTTTTATATTCTCATAAAAGGCCTCCAGCAAAGCGGGGTGGACCGTGGAATGAACGATGAGGCGTGAATTGGCAGCGGGGCAGCAGGAAGAGGGCGGGAATGACTACCTGGCCTGGCCTTCCCTCCCTACCACCCACACGTTGTGCCACCAAGGCACAACGGCTGCGCCTTCCCTCGCTTTCGCTAACCCATACGGTGTGCGCCCCCTCGCCGACCCACCTACCCTGTGCGCCTACCTACCACCCATACCTCTCCACCGTACTGTGCCCCTCTGCACCACTCCTCCCACCCTGTGCGCCATGCAGCGTCGCAATGTGATGATGGCATCCCAGCAGAACGACCCGCCCTTTTCTCCCTTCCTCTCACCCGTACCTCTCCACCACACTGTGCACCACTTCACCGCACTGTGCCCCTCTGCACAGCTCCACATACCCTGTGCGCCGTGCAGCGCCGCAGTGTGAGGATGGCATCCTGGCAGAACGGCTCCACCTCGTTCGCATGCAAGCCTGCGGCGCGTGGATGAGGGGAAGGGCGGACGGGGGGATTGCGGACAGGGGGGAGCGCAGAGAGACTGGGAGAGAGGTTGGCGGAAATCGTGTCGGAGAGGGGGAGAAAGTGCAGGAAGGGGGGGGCGGGAAGTGCAACGGAAGGAATCGGAGGTTCGCACTTGAAAGTCAGAACCCTTGATTTGTCCCGTCCATCGCCTCGTCTCACGCACTCACTCGCGGCCACGTCACCAGTTCAATAAACTCGATCCGCACACACACGCAGCACGCGCAACCACCGACTGCATTGAACGGCGCACACACGCAGCGCTCTGGTACTCGGTCTCTGCACGTATCGACGCCCTCGCGCATCCACGCGCATACGTTCTCTGCCATCAGCTCCCATCCAACGCCTCGTATTCAACCTAGCCCCGTGCTGATCGCATCCAACGGCTCACATTCAAAGAGAGCTCTCAATCGGTCGCTGCACGTCTCGACGCCCTCCATCACTCGCGGCGCGAGGTCTCGCGGAATCACTGGCGATGGCGGCCCCGTCATAAGGTCGTTCGCTGTAAGAATAACTTCCTCCGCCATGGCGCCTACCGTCTGGTAGTCCCTTCGCCTGAGGAAAGTATTTACAAAATTAATAAGAAGCTAAATGCCGCTAACAAAGTGGTGGAGGCAGCGCGTCTAGTATACCCTAAAGACCCCGTTTTTTTGTTCCCTGCGTGAATCGCGCTAGACCTGTTGCTTAATTGTTGAAATTAGGGTTGCTTCGGGACGGGATGTCGGGGCATTTGCGTTTTTGCTTGATCGAGAAATTTGTTTGGTTCGTTGACAAGCAGCGAGTAACCATAATTGCGAAGGGGCTGCGACCACAGTCTCGCAAACACTTGTCTCCGATGCATTACGAAATTTCTGCGAAATATTCTGCTCGCCTTCGGATTTCGCAACAAGGGTAAATGCGTCACGTCCCCTCCATGAGTTGGAACTGGATTGAATAACGAGAGAATTACTGTAGAACCTGGATTAGTGGTTCATTCTTACTCGCGTGGTCTTGAATTACTCGAGCAGCCACCAAATTTAGTGATAATGACTCGAGTGGCCACGCCAGGGGATTCTTGCTGGTTTTTTTTACCCGGCGCATTACCCTACAAGGGTTTGTAACCCCGAAACCTCTGTACTGATTAATGCGCGATCTTCAATATCCGAAATTTATGATCGTGACCCCATATGACCGCGCCTGATTGGACGCGCATTGCAAAACAAAGCACCGCGCATATAATCGACCAATCATGCACGGTCATTAATTGTCCCGCGCATTGACGCCCGGGCATTGCAGTTTATGATCGCGGAAATATATGATCGGGCATTAATATATGATGTGCCAGACCATTAATGACCGCACATGATTGGTCGACTATATGCGCGTTGAATCAGGCGCGGTCATATAGAGTCACGAACATAAATTTCGAATATATATCATCACGCGAAAGCATCCTTTTTAAAACCGGAGGTCCAAGAGTTTCTAAGCTAGGAAGGTTGAAAGGGGAGAGAAAGGTGACTGGCTCGCGAGCCAGGGTGGGGTCGAAATTTGTGGTCTGGGGTCGTAAAGGAAGAAAATTTCGCGAAAATAACCAGATCTGGAATGCAACATCAGAACTGGTTCGCAGACAGTTTCGGACGGGCTTCAAATTTGTTGGCGAAATTGTCACTGCTTTCGTCCTCGCTAGAACAGTAGTTTCGCGTAACGAAAATTGTCCCCCCGATTTGCGAAGTGAGTCGTACCTACTGCGTCACCCCTTCTCAAAGTTAGGAAGGTTGAGGCACTTTGGGGCTGTTTGGGACTCCGGTTTTAAATCATCGCGTAAATTGAAAATCGCGGAATTATCAATACAGCGGTTTCAGGGATACGAGCCCTTGTAGGGTAATGCGCCGGGAAAAAAAAAAAAAAAAGCCAGCGGGAATCCCCTGGCGTGGCCACTCGAGTAATTATCACCAAATTTGGTGGCCACTCGAGTAATTCGAGGCCATGCGAGTAAGGATGAATCAAGGATCTAGGTTCTACAGTAATTCTCTCTTGAATACCCTTGCTTCCGTTCGAAACGCGTTTCTACTTATCCGTTTCTTCAGCCTCGTTCCAAGGATCACATAAAAGCTGTTTTTTGCTATCCTCCTTCCGTTCTTCGCGGGACCAGTCTCACGCGTAAATAATCCAGCGCGATCTTCTTGTTACATATATCGATGTCGTCTTTAGCGGAGTACTTGAAGCGGTACACGTCGGATGGGCCAGCGGGGGGCGAGGAGAAGAAGAAGAAGAAAAAGAAAAAGAAGGGCGCCGCACCCGCGAAGAACGCGGGAGGGCTCGTTCTGGTGGACGCTGACGCCACGTGGCAGAAGCCGATTGGCGAAGAGGCCGATGAGGAAGAAGATGAGGTTAGTGCGCCGTTCGATCGAGACAGCGACGATTAGAGATCAACTCGCGAGCACGGTGGTGGGCGTCGCGTCTAGGCAGCAGCACAAGCCCTCCCGGTAGCAGGACTTGTTCCTCCCGCCCGCAGCAGGACAAATATTATGGAGATAGTTTGATCTCGGTTCAGCTCGGTTGAAGCTTCCATTAAATGTATCCTCAAACCGAATTTCCAGGTTTACTTTCGTACCTTCTTTTTCCAACCTACCTACCAACCCTATTCTAACTTGCATCGCCAAATCCATCCCCCCAGTCTGTCCTTCCGAACCTGCGTGCAGCCGGTAACGGATGCTCCCCAGGTGGAGGAGGACGTGGAGGTTCGGCGACAGCGACGCCTAGAGGAGGCTCGGAAGCGAGAGCTGGAAGTTCGGGAGGATGGGAGCGGATGGGTTACTGTGGATCGGACACAGGCACGGGGAGGGGGAAGAGGAGATGGGGAAGGAGAGGCAGGGGGTGTTGGGGGGTCAGTTGAGGGCGGCAGGAGGGGAAGGCATGACAGCCCGGACCTCTCTCCCCCTCGCCGAGCCAGACACTACTCCCCGGACCTGTCGCCTCCTCGGCGCCGAACCGGAGAAGACTCTCTGGACCTGTCTCCCCCCCGTCGAGGCAGGAGAGGACGGCATGACAGCCCTGACGGGGACGAGGGGGGCGACAGGAGAGACGGGGGAGAGGGGAGAGATGAGAGAGAGGAGAGAGAGAGGTGGGGCAGAGAAGGGAATAGAGGAAGGGTGGTAAGAGATGGTGGTGGAGGGACGAGAGGGGATTCACCTGACCTGTCTCCCCCTCGAAGGGCCACAAGGGGCTCACCAGACCTGTCCCCTCCTCGGAAGAGAAAGGCCCAATCTTCCAATCTTTCCCCTCCTCGCCGAGCCAGGCATGACTCGCCGGACCTGTCGCCTCCTTGCCGAGCCAAAGACGTTTCGCCAGACCTGTCGCCTCCTCGAAGGGGCAGAAAGGGCTCACCGGACCTGTCTCCCCCGCGCCGAACCAGAAACGATTCACCAGACCTGTCTCCTCCTCGCCGAGCCAGGCACGACTCGCCAGACCTGTCCCCACCCCGCAAGAACAGGAAGGACCCGTCCCCGGACCTCTCCCTGCCCCGGCGCCAAACCAGAAAGGGCTCACCGGACCTGTCCCCGCCTCGTCGCCGAACCAGACAAGTGTCCCCGGGCCTGTCTCCACCCCGACGCCAAGCCAGGCAGGCCACCCCGGACCTCTCTCCCCTTCGACGCCGAGCCAGACAAGACTCACCGGACCTGTCTCTGCCACGAAAGGGGTCGGGGAAACAGGCAGGAACGCAGGGTGGGGGGAGCATGTGGAAGGGGGGAGGGGGGAAGGCGGAGAGGATGATGGATGGGAGCCTGGCGGGGCTGAGGAGCGGCAAGGAGGTGATGGCTGAGGCTGAGGAGAAGAGGGCAAAGGACGAGGCCAGGTGAGAATTGTGGGGATTGGGGGAAGGGTTGGTCATACGGACAGGGCTGAGGAGCTGCATGGAGGTTATGGCCGACTCTGAGGAGAAACGACTTAAGGACGAGGCGAGGTGAGACTTAGGTGGGGAAGAGGGGGGAAAGAGGGAAGGGTGGGGCAGGTGAGGGAAGGGCAGGTGAGGGAAGGGGAGGGCAGGTGAGGAGGACAGGTGAGCGAAGGGGAGGGCAGGTGAGAAGGAATGAGAGATAGATGTGTAGGGTGACTGTGGGCAAGTTCCTAATGCGACTGTTGTTGCAGGTGAGGTAGGCCGCAGGACAGGAGAGAAAGATCTGGCTCAAGAGGCGCTTGTGTGAGAGAAGTGAGGTGTGCCGGGAGAATTGCATGAGATGTGCAGGGAGCATTATCATCTGATCATCACCTGATTTCACTCCTCCCCTCTCCTCCCCTCTCCTCCCCTCTCCTCCCCTCTCCTCCCCTCTCCTCCCCTCTCCTCCCCTCCCCTCCCCTCCCCTCCCCTCTCCTCCCCTCTCCTCCCCTCTCCTCCCCTCTCCTCCCCTCTCCTCCCCTCTCCTCCCCTCTCCTCCCCTCTCCTCCCCTCTCCTCCTCTCGCCCTCTCTGCCTTTCTGCCTCACAGGTTCGCCCAGCTGGATCCGTCCATCAGTGGTCGGGGGGCGCAGACTGTGTACCGCGACAAAGCAGGTGGGGGTTGGGGGAGGAGAGCAGGTGGGCGGGGGAGGGGAAGAGGGGGAGGAGGGGGTAGGGTGGGTGGGGGTGTGTTTTGAGTCCGCGGGGTTCAGACAGTGTACCGCGACAAAGCAGGGTGGAGAGGGGGGACGGGGGAGAGAGGTTCAGTGTGTTCGGGAAGGAGGGGGGATGGGGGGAGGAAGAAGTGTGTATGTGTAGAAGGAGTCAAGGCTGGGGGTAGAACGCAGACTGTATACCACGACAAAGCAGTTGGATTGGAGGGCGAGTGGGGGGGTTAAGAGGAAGGGGGAGGGGAAAGGAAAAAAGAACCGTGTGAGTGTCTAAGAGCGGAGACAGTGGGGTGGGGAGCTGCTGGGGAAGGAGATGAGGTTGGTAAAAGACGACTGTACTGGGAAAAATGAAGGCAGGATGGAGTATGAGCGATGTTGACTCGAATGGAGCGACATGAGTTTACACGTCCGTGTGACACAGACGCCAGTGGGTGCGTGCGGCTTAATAACGTTCTCGAGTACTCACCTGCTCCATGTGAGATTCGAAATTCTACCTTCCATGATGTTCCGGTTGCGCCCTCCTTATACTGCGCCGTAGAAATTTCTCTGCCTTATGTGTCTTCTCGACGTGTGTGCTTGCGTGTGTGCATCTGGTGTGCGTATGCCGTTGGGCTGATGGGCTGATGGGCTGATGTGCGGGTGTGCATGCATGTGCGCTTGTGTGTGTGTGTGCATGACTGGGTGTGTGTGTGCGTGCATGGGTGATTGTGTGTGTGGCAGGCAAGCGAGTGAGCAATCTGGAGGCCATCATGGCGGAGGAGAAGGCCAAGAAGAGCCGCGTGAGTCACAGGGGGGTGTTGGGGGGAGGGGATGGGGGAGGGGGGGCTGGAGCAGAGATCAATGAGCGGGCGGGAGGAAGGAATGAACCGGGAAGGAGGGGGGGGAGGAGGGAGGGAGGGAGGACACATTATCATTGCTAGGCGTGAGGGTCCAATATTTAGACAGTACAGAGTTCTCTGTATCATGCTCATCATGCTCTTTCATGTGCGTTTGTATGTTGCCCTTACAATCCGTGCTACGCTTGCAGGTGCTGCCGCCACCCGAGTGGGGCAAGGGTCTGGTGCAGAAGAGGCAGGCGGAGAGGCAGCAGGCTGACCTGGATGCCGTGGCTGCCTGCCCGTTCGCTGCCTACGAGTGAGTACACTTTATATTGTACAGGCTACACTCGTTACTGTGCTCACTAGTGAGCTGGTGAGACAGGAAAGGCAGCTGGCAGGCAGGCATGAATGCTCTGGCTGCACGCGCGTTCGCTGCCTGTGGGGGAGGGTGGCCTGTCACAACATGGTCACACTATATACTCATAGGCGCCTCCCAGACCCTTCATACCCACTTAGCAAGCGTTACCAGCTGAATATCACGTGCATGACCCCGTACTCTTGCGTTGCCTTTCCTTGTGCAAAATAACCTTGTGTCCCCCTCACAGCTCCTCGTGTCCCCCTCACAGCTCCTCGCTGCTCTTCCCGTCTGCTCTCCTCCCGATCTGTTACTGTGAGCACATCGCCAAGAGGCATCTCGTCATGTGCCGCACCTTAATCCGCACTTCCCTCCCACCTCCCGCCACTCCATGGTCCCCGTGTCCCCGTGTCCCCGTGTCCCCGTGTCCCCTTGTCCCCTTGTCCCCGTGTCCCCGTGTCCCCGTGTCCCCGTGTCCCCTTGTCCCCTTGTCCCCGTGTCCCCGTGTCCCCGTGTCCCCTTGTCCCCTTGTCCCCGTGTCCCCGTGTCCCCTTGTCCCCTTGTCCCCTTGTCCCCTTGTCCCCTTGTCCCCGTGTCCCCTTGTCCCCTTGTCCCCTTGTCCCCTTGTCCCCTTGTCCCCTTGTCCCTTGTCCCCTTGTCCCCTTGTCCCCTTGTCCCCGTGTCCCCTTGTCCCCTTGTCCCCTTGTCCCCTTGTCCCCTTGTCCCCTTGTCCCCTTGTCCCCTTGTCCCCTTGTCCCCTTGTCCCCTTGTCCCCTTGTCCCCTTGTCCCCTTGTCCCCGTGTCCCCTTGTCCCCTTGTCCCCTGTCCCCTTGTCCCCTTGTCCCCTTGTCCCCTTGTCCCCTTGTCCCCTTGTCCCCTTGTCCCCTTGTCCCCTTGTCCCCTTGTCCCCTTGTCCTCGTGTCCCCTTGTCCCCTTGTCCCCTTGTCCCCTTGTCCCCTTGTCCCCTTGTCCTCGTGTCCCCTTGTCCCCTTGTCCCCTTGTCCCCTTGTCCCCTTGTCCCCTTGTCCCCTTGTCCCCTTGTCCTCGTGTCCCTTGTCCCCTTGTCCCCTTGTCCCCTTGTCCCCTTGTCCCCTTGTCCCCTTGTCCCCTTGTCCCCGTGTCCCCTTGTCCCCTTGTCCCCTTGTCCCCTTGTCCCCTTGTCCCTTGTCCCCTTGTCCCCGTGTCCCCTTGTCCCCTTGTCCCCTTGTCCCCTTGTCCCCTTGTCCCCTTGTCCCCTTGTCCCTTGTCCCCTTGTCCCCTTTGTCCCCTTGTCCCCTTGTCCCCTTGTCCCCTTGTCCCCTTGTCCCCTTGTCCCCTTGTCCCCTTGTCCCCGTGTCCCCGTTGTCCCCTTGTCCCTTGTCCCCGTGTCCCCGTGTCCCCTTGTCCCCGTGTCCCGTGTCCCCGTGTCCCCTTGTCCCCATTGTCCCCTTGTCCCCTTGTCCCCTTGTCCCCTTGTCCCTTGTCCCCGTGTCCCCTTGTCCCTTGTCCCCTTGTCCCTTGTCCCCTTGTCCCCTTGTCCCCTTGTCCCCTTGTCCCCTTGTCCCCTTGTCCCCTTGTCCCTTGTCCCCTTGTCCCCTTGTCCCTTGTCCCCCTTGTCCCCTTGTCCCCTTGTCCCCTTGTCCCCTTGTCCCCTTGTCCCCTTGTCCCCTTGTCCCCTTGTCCCCTTGTCCCCTTGTCCCCTTGTCCCCTTGTCCCCTTGTCCCTTGTCCCCTTGTCCCCTTGTCCCCTTGTCCCCTTGTCCCCTTGTCCCCTTGTCCCCTTGTCCCTTGTCCCCTTGTCCCTTGTCCCCTTGTCCCCGTGTCCCCTTGTCCCCTTGTCCCCTTGTCCCCTTGTCCCCTTGTCCCCTTGTCCCCTTGTCCCCTTGTCCCTTGTCCCCTTGTCCCCTTGTCCCCTTGTCCCCTTGTCCCCGTGTCCCCTTGTCCCCTTGTCCCCTTGTCCCCTTGTCCCCTTGTCCCCTTGTCCCCTTGTCCCCTTGTCCCCTTGTCCCCTTGTCCCCTTGTCCCCGTGTCCCCTTGTCCCCGTGTCCCCTTGTCCCCTTGTCCCCGTGTCCCCGTGTCCCCGTGTCCCCTTGTCCCCGTGTCCCCGTGTCCCCTTGTCCCCGTGTCCCCGTGTCCCCGTGTCCCCGTGTCCCCTTGTCCCCTTGTCCCCTTGTCCCCTTGTCCCCTTGTCCCCTTGTCCCCTTGTCCTCGTGTCCCCTTGTCCCCTTGTCCCCTTGTCCCCTTGTCCCCTTGTCCCCTTGTCCCCTTGTCCCCTTGTCCCCTTGTCCCTTGTCCCCTTGTCCCCTTGTCCCCTTGTCCCCTTGTCCCCTTGTCCCCTTGTCCCCTTGTCCCCTTGTCCCCTTGTCCCCTTGTCCCCTTGTCCCCTTGTCCCCTTGTCCCCTTGTCCCCGTGTCCCCTTGTCCCCGTGTCACCCTTGTACCACTTGTCCCTTGTCCCCTTGTCCCCTTGTCCCTTGTCCCATTGTCCCCTTGTCCCCTTGTCCCCGTTGTCCCTTGTCCCCGTGTCCCCTTGTCCCCTTGTCCCCTTGTCCCCTTGTCCCCTTGTCCCCTTGTCCCCTTGTCCCCTTGTCCCCTTGTCCCTCGTTGTACCCCTTGTCCCCTTGTCCCCTTGTCCCCTTTGTCCCCTTGTCCCCTTGTCCCCTTGTCCCCTTGTCCCCGTTGTCCCCTTGTCCCCGTGTCCCTTGTCCCCTTGTCCCCCGTGTCCCCGTGTCCCCGTGTCCCCTTGTCCCCGTGTCCCCGTGTGCCCTTGTCCCCTTGTCCCCGTGTCCCTTGTCCCGTGTCCCCCGTGTCCCCTGTCCCTTGTCCCCTTGTCCCCATTGTCCCCTTGTCCCCTTGTCCCCTTGTCCCCTTGTCCCCTTGTCCCCTTGTCCCCTTGTCCCCTTGTCCCCTTGTCCCCTTGTCCCCTTGTCCCCTTGTCCCCTTGTCCCCTTGTCCCCTTGTCCCCTTGTCCCCTTGTCCCCTTGTCCCCTTGTCCCCTTGTCCCCTTGTCCCCTTGTCCCCTTGTCCCCTTGTCCCCTTGTCCCCTTGTCCCCTTGTCCCCTTGTCCCCTGTCCCCGTGTCCCCGTGTCCCCTTGTCCCCTTGTCCCCAGTTGTCCCCTTGTCCCCGTGTCCCCTGTCCCCTGTCCCCTTGTCCCCTTGTCCCCGTGTCCCCTTGTCCCCGTGTCCCCTTGTCCCCTTGTCCCCTTGTCCCCTTGTCCCCTTGTCCCCTTGTCCCCTTGTCCCCTTGTCCCCTTGTCCCCTTGTCCCCTTGTCCCCTTGTCCCTTGTCCCCTTGTCCCCTTGTCCCCTTGTCCCTTGTCCCCTTGTCCCCTTGTCCCCTTGTCCCCTTGTCCCCTTGTCCCCGTGTCCCCGTGTCCCCGTGTCCCCTTGTCCCCGTGTCCCCGTGTCCCCGTGTCCCCGTGTCCCCTTGTCCCCGTGTCCCCGTGTCCCCTGTCCCCTTGTCCCCGTGTCCCCGTGTCCCCTTGTCCCCTTGTCCCCTTGTCCCCGTGTCCCCTTGTCCCCGTGTCCCCTTGTCCCCTTGTCCCCGTGTCCCCTTGTCCCCGTGTCCCCGTGTCCCCGTGTCCCCTTGTCCCCGTGTCCCCTTGTCCCCTTGTCCCCTTGTCCCCTTGTCCCCTTGTCCCCTTGTCCCCTTGTCCCCTTGTCCCCTTGTCCCCTTGTCCCCTTGTCCCCTTGTCCCCTTGTCCCCTTGTCCCCTTGTCCCCTTGTCCCCTTGTCCCCTTGTCCCCTTGTCCCCTTGTCCCCTTGTCCCCTTCCCTTGTCCCCTTGTCCTCGTGTCCCTGTGACGCCCTGCAGGAATGACGAGGAGCGAGATCGCATGCTCAAGAATGCAGTGCGCTTTGGCGACCCCATGGCACATCTCGTCAAGGTGAGCTGTGAGGGGGGGCTGGGGTGGGGTGCGGTGGGGTGGGGTGGGGCGTGGGGACTTTTGAGTCACTTTCGCATCCTGTCAAGGTGAGGTAAGGTGGGGCGGGGTGGGGGGCCTTTTGTGTCGAGAGTTGCTTTGGCGATTGTATGCGCATCTGGTGAAGGTGAGGTGGGGTGGGTACCCAAGGCAGCTGTGTTGGAGGGACTTGGAGCACCTGTCCCTACTTCGGCTGGGTGGGAAACTTGGAACTTCATCGCGCACCCGCCGTGATGCACAAAACCGTAACACGCCATTCCCTTTCTCCCTGCCTCACACAGAGCAACCTATCAGCAGATACTCTCTTGCAACACCTCACATGCAGGGCGAGGATTCTCTTTACCATAGGCCGCCCACTTACACCGTATCCTCCTTCCCCCCTCGCACCTGCATACACACAGGGCAACATATCAGCACGCACCCTGCTGGAGGACCTCAGTCGAGACCCCCATGCTGGCATCAGGCTTCACCGTGCCGCAGGCCATTTCGTTAGCCCTTATCCTCTCCCCCCTCCCCTCCCCCCCTCACCCCTCCCCGTGCACCTGCTTACAAGCAGAGCAACATATCAGCAGAGGCCCTGCTGGAGGACCTCAGTCGCGACCCAGCCATGCAGGCCTCAGGCTTCACCGTGTCACAGGCCGTGTCCTTTATCTTGATATCCTTCCCAACTCCTCCCACCCCTCCTCTCCCGCACCTGCATGCACACGCAGAGCAACATATCAGCGGACGCCCTTCTAGAAGATCTCAGTTGCGACCCAGCCATGCAGGCCTCAGGCTTCACGGTGCCGCAGGCCATCCCCTTAGAGCTTATCCTCTCCCCCCTCTTCTCCCCCACCTCACCTTCATACACATGCAGAGCAACATCTCGGCAGACGCTCTTTTGGAGGACCTCAGTCGAGACCCAGCCATGCAGGCGTCGGGCTTCACCGTGCCACAGGCCATTCCCCCTCACAGCTGGCTCAAGCGCCGCGTGTCCGCCCCGCACAACCGCTACGGCATCCGCCCCGGCCGCCACTGGGATGGTGTTGATCGCAGCAATGGTGAGTGGTACTGTTCCTTCTCCTTACCTCGTCCTCTCCATATGATTCCTTACCACAACCGCTACGGCATTCGCCCTGGCTACCACTGGGACGGCGTTGATCGCAGCAACAGTGAGTCGTTCACGTCCTTTTCCTTCCCTCGTCCTCTGCATGTGCCCTTTGTTTTCTTTCCTTCAACTTGTGTTCCTGGCTTTCTTGGCTCAGTTCCCCTAACGTTCCTTGTTTGGGGGATTTTTTTCGCATCTAAATCATGACTACAGTCAACATGCATGTCAATAAATCTGCACCCTGACCACAACACACAAGCATTGCATCTACCGTATCACAGAAAATTGGGGTCTGAGTCAATGACTTGACGCAGTTTGTCCATCTCCTTTTCGTTCGAGCATGAAATGTTTCATGCATTGTTCAGCTCGGCGTGCCTTCCACCATTGCTGTCTTTTGAGTCCACTCAAGAGTCACCACCTTGCATGGAGGATGTTCAGATTTTGCTTTATCCTTCCCACCCCCGTGGCCTTGTGTGCGCACATTACTGCCAGGGTTTGAGCGGGAGATGTTCAAGCAGAAGAACGAGATGCAGGCGCGGGAGCAGGAGGCCTTCATGTGGTCCGTTGCTGACATGTAGCACTTACTGGTACTATGAGGCCACTGATTCGAGTGCGTGTCTCTCTGTTGAACAATTTGCTTGCTTGGAGGCTTTAGGTTGGGACTCACTTGCGAGTCAGACTGAAGGTTATAGGTTGTGGGATGCTTGGCTGAGAACCGTGTGTCGCAATGTACTCATTCCCGTATGAAATGAATCATGGTGCCTAGCAAGCATTCACAAGTGGAAACAAGTTGAAGGGTACTAGTGTGGTGCACTCGTTGCTCTTCTTCCCCAACCTAACCTCAAGGCATGTCAAAGGATAAAATATTTTTGATGCCCTGTGCATCTGTTTTTAGGAGCCTGATTGGCTATTGCAAATTGGAGGTCTGTTTATTCACCAGTCTACAGATGAAGCTCTATCTTTGGACATTGTAAGCCTTCAATACGATATGCCAATTATTGTTCACATGACAGACCCTTCCACAACCTCCTCTACTGTGCCGGGCACATCATCATACTTGACTGGCATGCGCAGCCGCTGCTTCACAGACACTCTCTGCTCTCCCCCCTGTGCCGTGCGCACGCCTGGCAGTGCTGCCGCCCCACATGTGCCACCTCTCTCCACGCCCTTGCATGACAGCGATGCAATCTCAGAGGCGCCACCGTCCACACTGCTGCTCGCACCTGCATGTGCCCCTTCTCCTTGCAAAACAACCTTGCGCTGATCAATCTCACGCTGCTCCTCCACACAAGGCGGCACTGTCTCACACACGGCCTCCTCGCACGCACCATCGACCTCCATCGGATCCTCCCTGCCTTCCCTCTCGTGAATGTCGCCCACACCATTGGCTGCCACGTCAGCCACACCATCAGCCAGGTCACCCCCACCATTAGCGTCACTCACACCATTAGCCATGACACCCACAACATTGGCCACGTCACCAGCCTTCAACCCAGCTTCTCCATCAGTATTCAACCCAGCTTCTTCAACACCCAAGCCAGCTGGCATGGCCAAACTAGCAGTGGCACAATCAGCTTCACGCCACTCGCCCTCCTCGGCTTCTTCCCACCCAGCGCCCTTACCAGCCATGACAGCACTCCGCCATGCATGCAGCACCTGCCTCACACTGCCGCCCCGCTCTCCCTCATCCAGCCGGACCTTCTCCTCAACATCCGTCCCCACACCCACACCCACACGCCCCCCCTTCTGCTCCGTACTCACACGCACTTTCTTCATCTCATGCACTTCCCAAGGCTCCTGCACCAACCCCTCCTCACTCCCACAGCCTCTCGCCCTACTGCTCCCCTCTCCTAGCCCACCCCGCTGCCTCCCTCCGCCACATGCCCGCTCTCTCATCCTCTCCTTCCCGTCCACCCCTCCTTCCACAACGCCCATAACAACCTCTTTTTCGTCCCCCCTTCCCCCCCCATCCCTCGTTCCTCTACCCCCGTCCTCTACCCCTTCCTCTTCTCTCCCCTCCACAGGGCCTGCAGCCCTCCCCTCACCACACTGCACCTGCTCTCCCATGCCCCTACCTTCTACCCCCCTATCTTCCACCATGCCCCCTCCCCCCGCCGTCACACCATGCTCCAAGCGCTGTCTGTCATCCCCTTGAACACACACACTACTGCTAACTTGCCACCTGGCCCCAGGACCCTGTGCCACGTCAGCAGCAGCAGCAGCATCGTCAGAAGCATGCGGCCGCGCGGCATCACGAGTGCAGCCCTCAAGCGAGAGGCTCATGGCTCCTGTGCGCTCCCTGTCACCACCGCCAGAAGTAACGGTGCCTCCACGATCTGACCCACCAGCGCCCTCTCCTCCCTTGTGCTGCCTCCTCCTCTTCTTGCTTGCCTGGCCTCGCTCTCTTCGCTTCTGCACACGCACAGGAATGGGATGGCACGGCACTGCAGACATTTAAGAGCTGTGGGGAGGAACGCTGGAGCACAGAGGAGGAAGGATGGACACAAGGAGCACTGGATAGAAAGGGCAACATGGCAGAAAAAAAGGCTCGTCGCCTTCTCCGTGTCTCCCTCCTGCTGCTGCTTCAAATGCACACCTTTCTGCCTTGTACCACTGCTCTGAACCGCCTACCAGCATGTCTCTCCCTCTGCTCTGCCCCGCCTACCTGCAACTCTCTCTCCTCGGCCATGATTTCGTTGTACACGTCAGCGCTGACTCGCGCCCTCAGAATGTTCCAAAACACGCCGCCCGGAGTGCGGCGCCTCTTGCCGTCCGCCGTGAGCTGGCCTCCACAGCACTGCACCGCGTCCACCTGGCACAACGGTGAGGGGAGAAAGGGGATTGAGGAGGAGGAAAGGGGAGGAGAGGTGAGGAAAGGAGAGGCCTCAACACTCGTCTCACCTCACGTGAGCTGGCCTCCACAGCATCTTCACCTGCTGAGGGGGGAAAGGGGAGGAGGGGGGATGGGGGGAGGGGGGTGGAATAGGGGAGGCCGCAATACTCGTCTCATTTCATCTCACGTCAGCTGCCCTCCACAGTGCTGCACTGTGTCCACCTGGTGTAAAGGGGCGGAATGGGGGAGGGGGGGAAAGGAGGGGGTGCGGGCAGCCAGTAGTGAGTCAACTCAAACATGAACCACGTCAATCAGGCGTCAAGGGGAGAGGAGGGGGTGGGAGAAAGTGGAGGGGGAAGCGAGCAATGGTGAGTTGACCATGCATTGCGTCCATGTGGGCTGCCCTCCACAGCGCTGCACCACGTCCACCTAGCAAAAAAGGGGAGGGGAGTATGGAGAAGGGGGAGAGTGAGCGAGAGGGGTAGGGGGAGGAGGAGGGGGGGACGGGAGAGGGAGGGGGAGGGGGGAGATGGGGGCGGGAAGGGCTGTGTTGATTGTTCAGGCGCCTCCATACTCGCCTCATATCCCGTGGCCACCTTGAAGGGGGGTGGGGAGGGGATGGGGGGAAAGACGATGGGACAAGGGAGGCAGACTTATAAGTCGACAAAAAACGCACTGGTTGTACCTGGTGTAGGGAAAGGGAGTCGGGGAGGGGTTGGGCGAACAAAAGCATGAAAGGGTGGGAGGAACGGGACCATGAGGAACGGGACCATGAGGAACGGGACCATGAGGAACGGGACCATGAGAACCACATAAGAGAGCAGAGAGGGGAACTGGAGACGAGAGATTTGAGGGGACAAGGCGAAGGGGGAATAAGGAGGATGAGATGAGAGACAAGGAGGCAGGGAACCAAAGTGCCAGAGAGGGATTCCTCTTGGACCTTAAACCATAGACCCTACACCCTGGACCTTAGCCCTTCTCCCCCATCACTATCACTACTCCCTCATACGTTTATCCCAATTCCCCATCCACCATCCTTCAAATCTTCAACCCCCTCCCTCCTACGTTAAACCCTCCTGCAAGATGCCTCCCCTTCCCCCAACCTCCTTGCACCCATCTGCACCTCCCAGCACATCCCCCTTGCCTCACAACACCATCCCCAAACCCATACCCTGCCCCCATCCCCAGATTCCCATTCAGCATTTTCAGTACGCCCAATTTCCCAACCCTATTCCCTACCCTCACGCCCTCACCTCCCCCACATGCCCCTCACCTCCGCCACCATGCTGTCACCTCCGCCACCATGCCCTCACCTCCGCCACCACGCCCTCACCTCCGCCACCATGCCTCTGACGGCGTCTCCCCCCAGGGCGTGCACGGCTCGCCTCACCAGCCCCCTCTTCGGCTCGCCCAGCTGCGCACACGCCCACGCCGCCACGCTGAGACAAGTGGAGGGTGGGGGAACGGGGGGAAACATGCAGATGAGGAGGCGTAGCACTGCCAGCACGGCTCGCCTCTTCTCATCAGCCCCCTCTTTGGCTCGCCCAGCCGCGCACACGCCCACGCCGCCACGCTGGGACAAGGGGGGAGTGTGGGGAGAGCGGGGAGCGCGCGGGGAGGGGGGGGGGGGTGGGGAGAGAGGGGGGGAAACATGATGATGAAGGCAACTCAAAGCGGAAACGAGCTTATCCACTCTGAGCTTGAGCTTCCAGGATTGCTGCCTCGCAACGCAAACGCACAACCAGCATGGCTATCTCAGCCGCACACACGCCCACGCTGCCCCGCTGCCACGAGGGGGGAGGGCGCGGAGAGGGGGGAGAAATCGGAGGCGAAGGGGGAAGGGCGGAGAAGGGGAGAGGAGATGGAGGCGAGAGAGTGGGGAGGGTGAGCGGAAGTGGAGAAAGGAAGAGGGCATGCAGGGCGCGGCGGGAGGAAGTAGGGGGTGATAATCACGAGGAGAGCGCAGCGGAAGCATGCGGTCGGGTTTTGGGGATGGGTGAGTTGAGCGTTTGTAGCGGGCGACGTCACACGAAGAGAACGACGGGGTCGCACGAGTCGCAGGGGGCGAAGGGACGGGAAGGATAGAAGGCGAGAAGGCACTGCCGTCTGGCAGACGATATTCCACGGTTGATCAGCCAAACCACACCAATCACGCCGCCATCACGCCATCATGCAATTAAGCCCCCATCGCCCCATCGCCCCATCACGCCATCACCCAGTCGCCCCATCGCCCCATCCCGCCATCACCAAATCGCCCGTAACACCTCACCTCTCGTCGTCGATCTCCCTCTCCGCCCCTCGCCGCCCAGCGCCCCGCTCACCCCCCCTCCCCCTCGCCCTCCGCCCTCTACCCGCAGCACGTCCCGCGCCCACAACCCGCCCGCCTCCGCTGTCACATCCATCGCGCGCGCGCTCGTCCATCGCCACGAAAAAGTTGCCTCGGGTTTGCTTTGCATCGCGGAAAAAAAGGGTCGAGTCGCTGCAGAATGGGTTTTTCGAGGTATTGCGTAGGATTGATCCAGATAACTCCCTACACCATCGTGGCTTTCGAAAGTGCCTGCCAGGATTCAGAACTGGTTCGAAGTTTTGGGGTCGGTGTAACGTTTTGTGTGTTCGCGAAATCCGGCTAGCACTAGTGCTTCTCGTCACTATGTCGCAAGCAGACGGTCAAGTTCAGTTTCGTAGAGGTTGAAGGTTTGAAGGTTTTAAGGTTTTTATATAGGTCGTAACCGCGTACAAATACAGTGCATCAAGCATAGCTAGCGCTAAGGTCTAAGAGACCTACACTACACAGTGTTACTTGACCATCCGAAAATGTTACGGAGGCGCGGGCTTTAAGGTACGCAGAATACCACAAGCCCATCAACAAGGAAACTGTCGCAAAAACCCACAACCTTGATGGTTGAGTGTCAAGGTCTCGCTGGTCTTCGCCGCTGGACCAAGCAAGAAATGCTAGACTTCGCAAGCTTCTGTAACCAGGCGTGAATCGCACGCAACCTGAGTTCGCCGAGCCGCATGGCACAAACTTCGTCAGTTCAAAGCCCATTCCAAATTGGGTCCCTCCAATTCGCCCCTTCCTTTCCCCAAGAATTTGACGGGCCCGTGATTTCAGCGTGATAGGAAGTTGGTTGCTCTTTCGGGTTGAATCATTTCCGTTGGAAGGAGTTTGTCGTTGCCTTTCACATTTCCTTGTCTTCATCGCTTTCTGAGCGCGGAACCTGCAAACAGCGCAATGGCTACGAGAAGAGTTCCGCCTGAGGGCGCCGCCGACGAACAGAGTGCTTTACCAGCAGCAGAAATAGCAGCACGGAATGTAGACATTAATTATTATCAGCAAGAGCAGCAGGAGCAGCACAAAACAGCAGGTTCTCCATATGTCGACTCACTGGAAACGGATTTGCCGCGGCCCCTTTCCCCAGCCTCCCCGAACTCATTCCCTACGAACAGCTGCGGTCGTGCCCAATTAGCGACTTTACCCGCGAAGTCCGTTACACTTTCAGCCGACGTTCTTGAGAATGTTTTTCGACTGCTGCAACGACCCGAACACGGGAGCGCAGCCAGCACGGTCTGCAAGGAGTGGCGCGACGTCTTTGAGAGTCGAACCCGCGACTTCTCAGTTGTTTACGACTTGCGGACCGCGCGTTGGGAGCCTTGTTTCCGTGACGTCAGCAACTGCAGTTTCGTCTCACGGTGGCATCCGGGAATAGAGAAGCTATGGATTCTAGACGACCCGTCACTGTGCATGCCACAGCACGTACGCTTCATAAGCAAGAATTCCTGGTTCACCCCGGCGCTAGTATCGGATCTTATCTTGTCCCATAACTTTCGACAGCTCGACTCAGCGATTGTTTCTCCCGAAGGAAAGCAGATCGGCGCCTTGATTAGACGGTTTCCAAACCTGACGTCCGTCAATATCCCAATCTTCGTCGGCAAGGGTTCGTCCCAAGACGTTGGTCTGCGTGAAGCGCTATCCGCAATCGCCACGTGTCGCTCGCTTCGCTCTTGTCGGATCCAGATCCGATTTCCCCGAAACTTCTGGTTTCGATCCCAAATTAGTGCGTTTAACGCCATCCTTACCGAAGGCCTCGCCAATATTCTTGATTCCTGCCCGCGCTTACGGTCGTTCCACGTGCAAACGGACATGCTTCGATTCGCCGTGCCTGACGAATTACCTGATATGGTAACCGCAATCGCTTCCGCCGCTGCCTCGGCAGACGAAGCAGGCTCGGGAGATTCGCCAGGCCCGGCAGGCTCGGCACTCAGAGGAACAACGGCGGAGTTACCCCTAGAATTGCTACCAGGCCCAAAGCATCGGCGGCAGCGGCTGTCCCATCTCTCCCTTCCTCTGCATCGTCCCCTCTCCGCCTCATTCTCATCCACCTCCTTCGCTTCCACGTTCCCTTACCTCCGCTCGCTTCAACTTCACGTGACTTCCGCGAACGACTCGTTTTTCGCCACCCCTGCCCCGTTTTCGCGAATGCGCGTGTTACAAGAGCTTCGCATATCTTACCACGACCAGCTCAGGTCAAGCACCGAGGTCCACCCGCAGGATCGGGCACCAAGCCTCTCTCCGAACCTGTTTTCCGGCTTGGAACATTCGCTTCGGAAGCTGACTCTCAACCTCCGTATCGGATCGCGCAACTTCGATGGCAGCTTGGCTTTTGTACCCGACATTGAACACAACTATTTATTTATCAGATTGCTTCCGGACTCGATATGGGGGCTGGAACGACTGGAGGAACTGGAGACGGGTTTGTGCAGCAGCAGAGCAGCGGCGCGCGGGCAGGAGAGGCGAGCTGCAGGCGTGCAGCTGGAGAGGCGAACCGCGTTGAGAGTTATGGGCTTTAACGACGCTGCCGCTGCTGCTCCTGCTGCTGGGGGGGCTGTGGCGAACGTGGGCAACGAGGAGGAGAGTAGGATCCTGGACGAGCCGCGATTCGCGGGCTTGAAGCAGTTGACTTCGTTGACTCTAACCTCGGACCAATGGAAAGCGCCCCCCCCTATCCCTCAAGCACCTGCCGAGCCTGACGCGGCTCCACATGCCCCTGGCTGCTCCGAGCCTGAGCTCCAGGCCAGGAGTGGGACTGTGGCATCTGACATCCCTGAAAGACCTGTGCATTTCTGAGGTAGACAGGGGAGGGTTTGGGGAACGACAGCAGCATCAAGGGCAACAGCAGCAGCAGGAGCAGGGTCAGGGACAGGCCCAGACTCCTCCACCTTTTCTTCCTCCTGCTCTGGAATCCCTGACTCTGCACGGACGTTCCAATAACGAGCAGAGCCTGTCCCCCTGGGCCTCCTCTACAATCACACAGCTCAAGCTGGTGAAAGTCCGCTGCCCACCAGTCCCGGACTCAGAGTGCCTCTTTCCAAACCTGAGGGTCTTCCAAGCCATACACTCCACCGCTCAGGTTGGGGCTCTGCCGAACCTGAGGCACATGCTTCAGAGGGCCGAGTTTGGTTTCGAGAATCGGCTAACTGCGCACCCGAACCTGACATTTGTGCAGGTGGATTACCCAAGCAGCAGATATCCGATCCCACCACTGCCAAGGCTTCAAATTCTCATTCTCCACCAGCTTCTCCCGTCCTCCAGGACCTTGGAGTGCCTCTCTTCCTTCTCTTCTCTGCGCTTTCTAAGGCTCTCCAATGTGGCAGTCAGGAGGGAATGCACCGGAAAAATCACCTGCCCGCCGAAGCTGACAACATTGGAGATTCACGAGTCAAGCTTTTCATGCCTGCCTGAGAGCTTTGCATGCTTTCATCGCATCAGGAAGCTGCGGCTGATCTACTGTGAGCAGATGAAGTCGCTGCCAGAGTACCTGGCGGGCTTTAAAAGCCTAACAGAGCTCATCATCAGGGGCTGTAAGGGTGAGATTGAAATCCCTGAGAGTCTGGATTCTGTTCTAGCTCGAGCCAGCTACAAGGTGGAAAGGTGTGAAGGGGGCAGTGCAAATTGAGTGAATGAATAGGTAGTTGGTAGGGTGTGACCGTATAGGTTAGCACTACGACATTATCCATACAACAAAGTACCGGATAGTAGACATATACCATGTCTGAAAAGGCTTTGTTGTCTGATAGTAGACACACACAGGACTTTGGTTGACTTGGTTGCCCGGTTGGCTAACAGGTGGAGGACACGATGCAGGCACAGGGAGGCTTGCGAGATGTGGCATGGTGTAGAAAGAACGGTGACAGTGGGTGCACGCCAGGGCCTCAGATTCGTTTTGGCCTAGGCTGAATCGTCAGCCTTGGGAGTGGGATGAAGGCTGATCAATCAGGGTAGCCTTGAAAAAAAAAGCTGAAATTTCAGTGCTTAGTTTCAAAAATTGGCTGATCATTCAGCCTTGCTTTTAAAAACAAAGGCTGAACACAACTTCAAGCTTTCCTATAGCGCAACACGCGACGTGCTGCCAACAGTGCACACGACGTGCCTACACAACTTCACACACGAAAATACAGTACCTTCTATTGGCAACAACATGGGCGAATCCGAGCTAATTTCCAGTGATTGGGCGAATTTCTGGAAGAACGTGTTGTGTCAGAGCAAAAATTCTTGTGATTGGGCGAAATTGTTGTGGCTCTGACGGGGCGAATCTGTTCTGTAGGGGCAAATTTGCTGTCTCGGGGCGAATCTGTAGTGACGAGTCAAGCTGAAAGACTTGGTGCCATCTGATTGGCCAGGCAGGTTTTTGATTCTCGGCACTACACGAATCTCCACTAGTGGGATTTCAGCCCACACACCCGTTACAACGCTGATCAGTCAGTGTACACCTCTAAAAAAACTCTGAAATTTCAGACCATACAATGAAAAAAATGCTGAAAAATCAGCCGGTACAATGAAAAAAAAACTGACAAATCAGCCCCACTTTCTTCCCAGCACTGAAATCTCAGCCTTTTTACCCCTAATCAGCCTTTTTTCGCTGACTTCTGAGGCCCTGGTGCACGCCCATCCTTGCAGTGTCTCGTCCTGGAAGTGTG